TAATAAAAGGAATTATATGTTATAAAATAAACTTAAAAAAATATTTAAAAATATATAAATATATAAAAATTTAAAAATAAATAAATATATAAAAAATATATATAATTAACCACTTAGGGGTAAATAGATTGTTTATTTTTTTAATACACCTAAAAAGTTTCCAAAGTGTCACAATAAGTTGCAAGCCTTCTGAAACTTGTGGTCCCACGTGTCTCCTCAGGTTGCCTTACCCGACCACACATACAATATTTTGTTTTGACAACTTGGCATGTTTTAATAAATGGCTTTATTTTATAATCAGTTTAATTTGGTTTGAAAAAAAACAAACTAAACTGAACTAAATAAAAAACAAACTAAACTGAAGATAAAATTTAAAGTAAACAAATTATAAACAGAAAAGAGAAACAAAAACTTAACAAATGATAAAATAAAAGATAAACAAGAACAAAAGATATAAATATAAGATATTTTTTAAATTTAAAAGCATCTCAATTAACAGCTCAAAGCTAATAATTTTTTACATAATACATCAGCATAACACTTTAGATGATGTAGCATTCGATAGTTAAGGCACGCATGTTAGTTAGGTATTAAAATCTATTTACCAGATCTTTATTTTTTATATTTTATTCACTTAGTAGACATTAAAAAATAACAAAGTTTAAAAGTTTTTAAATAATTAAGTTTCAAAGTAACTAAATTTGGATTAAATAATTTTAAAGCTTCAATCTTTTATAAAGTCTATTAAATTAAAACACTTTAAAATTAAAAACAAGATTTATATTTTATTTATTTTATCAACCATTAAGTAATATTTTCTTTTGTTTCAGGTTATGAATTGTTTTTTTTTTTTAATTGTTTTTAGTTTAAATTAGCTTTTTCAGTACATTTTTAAAACATGCATTTTATCAAAATATGCAAAGAGCTATAGCCAAGTTATTAAATATTTTCAGTGAAAAAATATCTAAGAGACGCACAACCGCATCCATTTTCTTAGAAAGCTTGAGTTACGTTCATATCTTAAATAAACCTTAGAAATTAACTTTAGAGAAAAATTTAACAAAACAAATTAATTATTAAGATATTTTTTATTATTAAATAATAGCAATATGAAGGAGATGGGAATAATAAGAGAAAATAAGATTATAAGTATTGAAGAAGCAGCATAATTGAAAACCACCTAAAATATCTTGAAATTTATTTTGAAATTTCAGTAATATTTACTTAAATATTTGAGTTAATATAAAACTTACTCCAAATTCTGTTTCTAGATGATTTATTCCATCTGTAGCAGCATTTAATCTTTCAAGTTCACACTAAAAATTTACAATAAAAAATTTTAGCTATATAATACACTATAGTATAAATTGAACAAGATTTATAACAAAAATAGCCTAAAGCTCTCTCTCTCTCTCTCCCCTCTCTCTCTCTCTCTTTATATATTATAGGAGAGGGTATGCACCTATGACCCTAAATATATATATATATATATATATATATATATATATATATATATATATATATATATATATATATATATATATATATATATATATATATATATATATATATATATATATATATATATATATATATATATATATATATATATATATATATATATATATATATATATATATATATAGTGGCATTTTAATTACTCAATATACAACAATGTCATTTTAAATTACCTAAATTACAAAATAAAAACATACAAAACAACTTTTTTTAGAAAATCTAGTTCCATTAAAATGTTTAAGATATATAGATTAGAATTAATGAACACATATCACACAATCAAACATCATTATAAAGTTAATAAAAGTTATATACTTTATTTCAACTAAATTTTTTTCAGCCCAAACCAACACTACTGCCTTAATTAAATAAATTATTGCACCACATTTTTTTAATATATCAAAATAACTCTTATCAAATTGCAACAGGTGCAAAAAAATATTTTATCTTATTCCAAGTACCCGTTAGGTAAAGCCAATCTAAAATAAAAAAAGTTTTGCTTTTATTTTTTAAATATCATTGTGGAAACTTTGAAGAATGCTTTTAAAACTTTAAAAGTATGTTAGTACATGTTTTTATATAAAATTTACTGTGCGTGTAAAACAGATAAAGCTACAAAAAGAGGTATAAAAACCAAGGTTTTTTCATGAAATTTAGAATTATGGAACTATTTATATAAGCATTCAAATATTAAATGTTAATACAAATATATTATATATATATATATATATATATATATATATATATATATATATATATATATATATATATATATATATATATATATATATATATATATATATACATATATGTATGTATGTATGTATGTATGTATGTATGTATGTATGTATGTATGTAAGTATGTATGTATGTATGTATGTATGTATGTATGTATGTATGTATGTATGTATGTATGTATGTATGTATGTATGTATGTATGTATGTATGTATGTATGTATGTATGTATGTATGTATGTATGTAATGTATATATAATGTAATTTTAAACCTTAATTCTTGGATCAAGTTCTTCTTCTTCTTCGTTTTCTTCAACATTGTTGTACTTAGACTTTTGCCGTGCTTCATTCTCTTTTGATATCATCTCTAAAACTGACATAAAAGTAAAACCAGTTATTTAGGTGTTGAACCTTGCCTTTAAAGAAAAAAAAAATTATTTGCATTTCTAAGTATTTTGTATTTCTGAGTATATCTGAGAAATTATAATAGTAAAATAAAAAAAATAAAACATATAAACTCATATAAACTGCTACATTTTCTTAAAAATTATTTGGGAATTAAATCTAGCAGTTGTATACTGGTATAGTGTGTGCACATTGTACCAGTGGCTGTCACGGTATTTTATAATTACTTATACATAAGCATTGTAAACAAATAAATTGAGTATGAAAAATATAAACAGTTCTTAAAAAAAAAGAATATGTATGAAAAATATAAACAGTTCTTAAAAAAAAAGAATATGTATGAAAAATATAAACAGTTCTTAAAAGATAAATATTATTCTTCGCTGCAAAAAAATTGAAATAAATTTATTGTGTACATATTTAAAAGTTTTGTTCTTACACAATCCATTTCAAACTGATAACTTTGTTGACATTTCATAGATTTGTTTACAATAGGATATATGAACCATTAATTAACGACCAAGGGTACTTGGTCGCAGTTGACCCGTACCGATAGCGGTGTGGTTGAATAGTGTCGCAAATTTTATAATGTCGCAATGAGTGGGTTGTCGTTTTTTTATTTTTTTTATTTGCGACGCTATATATTTTTTACTATTTGCGACGCTATTCTTTTTATTATTTGCGGAATTATTTCATTTTTACCATTTGAGATACTATTCCTTTGTTGTTGTTGCGAAATTAGGCCTTGGTGTTTAAGTATTACCCCGAATACCAAGATGGTAGTGGGGGTTTGATTGCAATTTACAATAACATCTATACCAACTATTTTCTCAAACATTATTTAAAGCTTATGCTACAAGATTAAGAACAGTATTCAACTCGAGTGAGATATATAATAATATAGCGGTGATTAAAAATATAATTTAGCGAGGTGAAGGAGCAAAAAACTTTGATCTCTATTCCAAATGTAAAGTGAAATAAATCATGAACTTCCTTGTTAAATGTTACTCAACGGTGCTCTGTAATAAGACCGTAAATATTTAAAAAGACCGTAAATATTACTCGGAGAACCTAAATAACTTAAAAAAATAATATTAGCAAATCAAAACAATTCCAAGAATAGATAGTGAAACTAGTTTAAAGTACTATCCCCCCCCCCCTCTCTCATCAAATTATTTAAATTTTTGCTATGCTTATTTACAAGAATTTATCATCGAATTTCTACTTAAATGCTTTTAATACAAAAACTTTGAAAAATACATCTCTCCATTTAAAAGCTTTCAAAACACTTTTTTTAATTTTAATTTATTTTAAACTGTCCTTCCGTAAAAATTTTAACGGTACGGGTCTGAAGATTGTTATTTTAACTTTTCAAGTAAATTATTTAGCGACAGCTTGTAACAAGAATTAAACTATTTGTAATTATATAATTACGATGTCGTTAAAACATTGTTAACAGTGTATCGAATACCTTTAATAATAATGCAAAGTTTAAAAATTGATTAATATCATTTATAAATTATTTGCGAAGGAAACGAGTACTAAAGTAAAAGTTAAGAATAGAAACCCAATGAGCAGGGTCTTTTGAACGTTTTAGACGTATTTTGAACATTCAAAAGACGTCTTTTTTAGGTTCTGGGTTAGAAATAATTTTTCGAAAAAAATAGTATTTTTAATTGGCATATATATATATATATATATATATATATATATATATATATTATATATATATATATATATATATATATATATATATATATATATATATATATATATATATATATATATATATACTATTGTAGTATTATCCCAATGTTTAATTTTGGTTTATGTTGTTTTTTCGTGTAATTACTCGATTCATTGAGCTTTTTTTCACATTTACGTCATTTTATTTGAGTTTTTATTACTGATGGCAAAAAATGTTTTGTTAGTTAAATGTTAATTCAATTTTTATTAACACTTACGTCATTTTACTCAAGTTAAATGTTCAATAAAAATAGAATTAACATTTAACTAACAAAATTTTTTTGTCTTATGTAACAAAAATTAACTTGAGTAAAATGACGTAAGTTCCATCATTTAATTTAGTTTTTATTAGATACGTCCAAATGAAACACACATTTATTACGCATCTTTTTGATATTTGATACGACTTTGATTGATTTACCTAATTCCAAATCATTGTGTAAATTATTGCTTATTATTATTAATATTATTATCGGAAACTGTTAACAAAAAGTACAAATAAAACATGTGTTTCCTTAAAAAAAAAGAATTTATTTTTTGAGAAAATTTTCTTTGAGGAAATAATAGTTTTTTATTATATAAACTACATCGATAAATATTATGTTTTTTTTGTTTTTTTATTAATAAAAAAATCTATTCAATAAATATAAAGTAAATTAGAAACAAAACTGCAACAAAACAACAACAATAATATAATAGTAATAATAATAATAGCAATAATAGTAATAATAGCAATAATAATAACAGTAATAGTAATAATAATAATAATAATAATAATAATAATAAAATAGTGCTATACTTAGCGGACACTACGTCCATGCGATGTCTTATCATCTTAACTTAACGTCTAAGACGTCTTAACGTCAATGCGACGTATTATGGACGTCACATCTCCAGGACAACAGTAAGACATCCAGCGAACGTTCTGTGCCCGCTGGTTATTATTTAAAAAAAAAAACAGAAATTGAAAAAAAATTGATATCATTGATAAGGATTTTTAAAATTTTGTAAAAAATTGTTAAAATTATTTTTGTTTCAAATAAGGAAATGAAGATAAACTTTTTTAATGTTGTAGTTTTTCACACTTATTCATAATACATTCGAGACTCCTTCCATTCACAGATGCAGTGATGAACAACGGAATGTTTCTCATTTCTTAAGGTTTTATGGGGAGGTAGATTTAACTTTCCATTATTTTTATATTTTAATGAAGTTTACTAGTGATTTAAAATATATTTTAACTTTTATTAGTGTTGTCATGAGAAAATATTATTAATAATATTTTCTCAAATGTAGCAATGCAAAGATCAATCAAATATAAGTTTTGAAAATCTATTGTTGTTTACATTTTATATTTATATAAGATTTTTAAATATTACATTATTTAATTAATTGGAATAAATAAAACTTTATTGTTTCGTTAAAAAACGAACACTTATCTGTAATAAATAATGCTTTTAAATATTAAAAATATCAAGTGAAAATTCTTAAATGATTTGATTAAACCATAAAGTACATTTTAACAAAACTCGAAAAATCTGTGGAACAAGTTTGATTAATAGTTTTAAAAATAGTTAACTTAATATACTTCGGTATTTTTCAAAAGGAGTATTAATTGATTTCATCTGAATATAATGTTTGGACTCTATATAAAGGTTAAAATATAAATTCTTAAAAAAACATATAGAGCAACAAAACATATGAATTAAAAAACATTTAGGTTTACCTAAAGAATCGTACATTTAAGTAGTTCTATTGATTCTCAGAATGGTACAAGTTTTCACTTTCACATCGATACGATAAAACTTCAAGCAACGACTGATAAATGATTTTTTTAAAAGTACTTGTCGTCATGTTAAAGCATTTGTCGTCATACAACTGAAGATGACGCGTTGACTTTAATTTAGAATTAAAAAAAAATAATTTGCCGTTAAAAATCTCTTACGTACAAATGAAGTTAAAAAAAGTCCCGAAGTTAAATTGTCATTGATCATATTACTTTGTTACGTAGACCATACTTGTCAAAATCTACAAATTATTGTATTATGCTAGATGTATATCTCACTAAACAATATCAATTCACAATGTAAGGTAATAACGCCTTTTTTTAAATTTAAATAAAGTTAAATATCTGGAAAGTTAACGCTTACGCAGCGCAGAGCAACTTGTGCGACGAGAAAGAAAAAAAAAAGAAGCTATTTCACCATTACAACTATTAAAAATAAATTAACATACTTTTAAATAATGAATACTTTCTGATACTGTAAGGCAAATATTTATTTACTGCATATTCTACCGATATTGCAATTTTCACACAATTTTTGTCGGCTAATCCAGCTTATTTGTAAACTATCCAGATTAGCGGATAAATTATGCATTCCATGCGACTCTGACCTATGGTAAAGAATTGAAAAGGCCATATGTAGAAACATAAAAAGGAATTTCGACCTGACTAAGGTAATTAATGGGATGTGTAAAATATTGCAGAAGTACAAATTATAATTTTAAAGAAGAACAAAGTATAAATCTACACTGTAAAATCCAATGGCAAAAAAGATTTTTTTTTTTTACCTGATTTAAACTTACTTTTTTTTTTTTTTACCTCCTTTAACTTATTAGTCTTGTTTATTGTTGCTATTAAAAACCAAATAAATATCATTGAAACTCGAAAAAAAAAAAAAAAATTTATATAACTTTGTGTACCTTGTTAATTGTTGTGGAATACTGCGGAAACGAATATGCATATAATTTTAGTTCGAATATTTAAGGTATATCAAGTTCAAATATTTAAGGTTTGAGAAAATAATAAACAATAAAACATTACCATTATCTCAAAATTATCAAACTCAAAAAGCTTTGCATCAGGTTGAGACAAGTAAATGAATTGAAGTTTTGAGAAAGCTGAAAACTTTTGTTTTAAAAGTATAATATTTGCGTAAATATTACATTATTATTCTTCTCACTAGGTGCTACTGTACTAAACAGTCGATCTGATTGTACATTGAACTAAACAATCAATCTATGACAAAATATATTGTAAAACACCACCAATCAAATTTATTCTAAAATTTGATGACTTAGCCTATTTTTTGAAGACTCTTAATTCATTTTCTCATAAAATTTCGTATCACTTGTTCAATTTACGCAAACGAATTTTTACAATACAAATTTTTTGAATCCAATTTTTTCATAACACGATGTAAAAACTGGATTCAAAAAAAATTTAGCAGAATTTGTAGTGGCAAAATGCGCAAGATTGTTAACTTGTTTGTCATTAAATCGAAAATTTTTACGCTGGAAATAAAATTCTTTATCCAAAGAACTCATGTTTGCAATATTAATTTTTTACGCCGTAAATAAACTTTTTGAACTAATGATAATTTTAAATAAACTTTTTAAACATCTAACATTAAAAAGTCAAAACTTGTACCGAGTTACCCGTCCAATGAGTAAAATCACGTCAAATAGAATCAAACAATCAAATGTGGCGCAGTGGTTAGAACGTTAATTTCATATTCGACAAGTCCGAGGTTCCGGATCTGCTCTGCATCGTAAGGAAGGCGGCCTGAACTGCCTCGTTAAAAATTAACAAAGTTTACGTTTTAACGCAGAAGATGACATTTTAACGAGGAGATTAGTTAGTGGGCTTAATTTTTTTGGGGGAGAGAATTTTTTTTTTTTAATTGTTTTATTTCAAAGTTCAAATTCAAATGATTTATTGAAATTTTAAAAATGGAAAAAATAATAATATTTTATAACAACTTTATTTTTTAAAATAATTTTATTTAAACATATTTTTTTGCTATAACTAAACGGAAATTTATTTTTCAAGTCATTTTTTGAACTCTTTTCTCGTTGTTTTTAATAATACAATTAGCTTTTTCTACAGAGGCAGCAAGTGCATCAATTTGCTTTATTTGAGCATCCTGCTCCAATGAGATTTCCAGCGCCATTGACTTAACGCTAGTTAGAATCGAAGATATCTGCAAAGCAGCATGTTCATGATCTTTAGGCTCTTCTAAACTTTTACTGTTTTTTGGAATTTCACAACTTTTATTTTCTAAAGGAAAAATAAACTTTGACATTATTAATGATATAATTTTATATAACATGTTATAAACTATATATATGTTACAAACGCGATTATATAAGAAAAAGAAACAAAAATGACAGTGGTACAGCAAGCTAAAATCAAAACTGATCATAAACTTTCCAGACCCCCCTCCCTCGCAACAACACTTGTTTATTGTATTGTGTGTGTTTGTGTGCCTATATATATATATATATATATATATATATATATATATATATATATATATATATATATATATATATATATATATATATATATATATATATATATATATATATATATATATATAGCGCTGGCTTTTAGGGGGGGCGAGGTCGTGCGTTGCACGAGGGCGGCAAGTAAATAGGGGCGGAGAATTTTATTAGTCACAAGTTTTAATTTTCCAGTAGTATATTAAAAATTTAAAGTAAATTAAAAGATTTAACGACCTTTGCAAAAAAAAACACGATTTTAAATTTGACGACAAAAAATTACTATATTTACTTAATTAACGCACGATTTTCTATTGTAATTTGTAGTATAATTTGTGCGTTATTTCCCCTAGGAGTCATTTCGAAAAGTTGCAAAAAAATTTTTATAAAGAAGTTCAAAAGTTTTTATTTTTTGTTATTAAATGTTAAGTTGACTCGATTTAAACAGTTGGAGAATTATTCCGAAGTTTGGGGTTTTTTGTATTATGTCGATAGTTTGCAAAAAAGAGAAGAAATTCTAAAATCATGTTTAGCTTTTCAAAGTAAACTTACCGTAAATCTAAAATCGGACATTAATGGTATTCTCCTTTGCGATGAACTGATGAGCATTAAACCTTTTCTTTCTGAAATGGTCAAGGATAAAATTACTCCTATTATTGTTTTAAACTTTATAAAACAGCACAAAATGCAAGATTTGTATCCAAACACATGGATTGCAATGCGAATTTTGCTAACAATCAGGCCCGACGAGAGGGAGGGGGGGGGGGGGGCCAGAGGGGGTATTTTCCCCGGGCCCATCACCATCGGTCTCTTAGTCTATCAGGTCCCAGTCTCCAGGTAATCAGCCAATCCCCATCAAGCAACATTGTGTCTGCATCACTTCATCAGTTAGATAAATAAATAAATTTACTATGTAATATTGATAGGATCTATTCTTTATTAATCATTTAATTTATTTAATGAAAATACGCTTTTGAGAGTAAAAACGGAGACTAATAGCCTCTAAAACTTAAAAAATAAATATAGGGCACCAGCCCGCAGGTTTTTCGTAAGTTCCTTGCTCATGCCATGCTTTATAATATATATAATAGGCCTATATATATATAATATAAATATATAGTATAATATAATATATATAATAGGCCTATATATATATATATATATATATATATATATATATATATATATATATATATATATATATATATATATATATATATATATATATATATATATATATATAATTTAATATATAAAGTTATATATATATATATTATATACATATATCTATTTTATTTATACAGTATATACTGTACTGTACATTAAACTGAACTTCTATTTTAACTTTTAACAATTATTAATTGTCATTTATTTTAATTTGTTAATTTACTTATTAACTTAACTAATAAATTTTTGTTCTATTGTTACAGGACCTCGCATAGGCAGCCTACTACATGCAGCTATGGATCATTACCAGCATAAATCTGGTGCTCAAAAAAGAAAAGAAAAGATTGCTCGAGAAAAATCAGCCAAGAAGGGTCAAAGTACGATTGAGTCTTTCGGATTTATAAATTGTAATCGTATTGATGGTGTTTCTGAGGATCAGATGTGCAAGATGAAGTCACAACTCTCAAATGTTGAAGTAGAGCCAGTGCCAATTGAGGAAGATGAATTGTTAAATAGGAAAGTTATGAGTGCTGATGTGAAAGAGAATGTAATAGGCGAAAATGAAAATATTCTTCCAAAGACATCAACTGCAAGGCTAGAAGAATTACAAGACAAAGCAGATGATGTCCAACTAGTTCCATCAAATAACTATGATATTGGTTTAATTAAGGAATTATTTTGCACTGCTTAACAAATAGAAAAATTTGTTCATCTTGGACCCATTGCTCACCCAACAAAATTTCCAAAAGATGCATTGCCTAAATCATTTCCGCGCACGTTATTTCACATTGCCATGCCAAATGGCGAAAAAATTCCACGAGATTGGCTAACGTGGAATGAGACGAAGAATGCACTTTACTGTTTTCCCTGCCGACTTTTCTCTAAAATGCCAGAAACCCATCGATCGGCATTATCTCTGCCAACAGGATATTCCAAGCCCAAGGACAATAAATGGAAGAAACTTTATGAAAAAATTCCTCATCATCAATCCAGCAGTGGGCATAAGATGTGTTATGTAGAATGGAGACGATTAGAAGAAAATCTCAGAGATAATACAACTATCAATTTTCTACTAAATGATAATATAAAGACAGAAGTGGAAAGATGGAGGCAAATACTTCGTAGGGTATTAGATGTTATCTTGTTTTTGGGTGAAAGAGGTCTTGCATTTAGAGGGGATAGTCATCTAATTGGTGACCCCAAAAATGGGAATTTTTTGGGAATTATGGAACTCATTGGTCATTACGATTCCATTCTACATGATCATCTCGAAAAAGTAAAAGCTTCTCAACAGAGCCATAAGCGAATGCAAGCACATTATTTGTCAAATGATATCCAGCATGAGTTTCTTCAGTGCTGTGCAGATAAAGTCACAGATGTGATATTAGATGAGAGGGAGAAATGCAAATATTTTTCAATGATTGTGGATGCAACGCCTAATACAGCTCATATTGAGCAAAATGTTTTTATTTTAAGATACGTCTTACAGGACAAATTGACAGGAAAATATGAGGTAAAAGAAAGATTTCTGGAATTTGTAGATTGCAATAAAAAAACTGGTGAAGATATTGCAAATATAATTACTTCTACTTCTCAGAAACATAAAATACCACTGATGTGCTGTCGTGGACAAGGATACGACAATGGGAGTAATATGAAAGGTTCAGTCAAGGGAGCACAAGCTCGAATTCTTCAACATTATCCACTTGCTACTTACTCTCTCTGTGCTTGTCATAGTCTGAATTTATGCGGTGCACAAGCTGCTGAATGTTGTCCTCAAGTGATAACTTTCTTTGGGATAGTGCAAAAACTGTATAACATATTTAGTAGCAGTCCTCAAAGATGGGAAATTTTAAAAAAATATATAGGTTCGTCTTTTCATAGCATGTCCCAAACGCGCTGGTCAGCTAGAGTGGACTGCATTAAGCCATTCGCAACCCACCTTCCTGGTATAATCAAATCAGTAGCTGATATAAGGAACCTAAATTTGTCTATAGAAAATCGTGCTGATCTAAATGGGATTATTTCATATATGGAATCGTTTGAATGCATTCTGATGTCCGCTATATGGTTCAAAGTACTTACTGCTATCAATTACACCAATCTTGTTTTGCAAGCACGGAATGCTACATTGGATGTAGAAGTGACCAACATCAAACGACTAATTGATGAATTAAAAACTCTTCGAGATAAATGGGATTCTATTATGGTGGAGAGTAAATTAGTTGCAAACACCTTAAACATTTTTCAAGAACTTCCAGAACCTAGACGAAAAATTAGGAAGCGATTTGCTGATAAGACACCTGATGAAATTTCTCTATCAAATTCTGAAAATAATTTTAAACAAAACGTTTTTTATATATTATTGGACTGCATTATAGGGAATATCAGTAGGCGATATGAAGCTGCATATGAAATTGACGAAACTTTTAACTTTCTCTGGAAGTATAATCATTACGAAGAGGAAGAAATTCGCCGAAGGAGTAAGGATTTTGTGAATAAATACAAGGATGATGTTTCCATGGAGCTGATTGATGAGCTTTTGCATTTGAAATTTATCCATGATGTTAACATCAAAAATGATTTGGACCCCTTTCTTCTTCTCAATAAAATCAACAACCTGAAACTTATATGTCTTTTCCCCAACATTTGTATTGGCCTGAGAATTTTTTGTACATTACCAGTTACGGTAGCACAAGCTGAACGGTCTTTTAGCAGACTGGCGCTTATAAAAAATGATCTAAGATCAACAATGATGCAAGGTAGAGTTTATGGCTTGGGAATTTTAGCGATGGAGTGTGATTTAGAAAAAAAGATCAATTTTGACAGTGTAATTGCTGATTTTGCCAGTAGGAAAGCGAGGAAAGTTTTAATCTAACTTACAGGTTTTATATATTTTAATTTTGTTGTAGTTAAATTATATATAATTTTTCACTGTATTGTATTTAAAATATACTTGTAAATAAAATACTGTATATAGTCAAGTTAAAAAATTATTTGTATCAAAAGTAGTATTATTCATGTCTGAAGCCCTAAGCCCTGAGGGGGCCCGTCAGTTTGATATTACCCCAGGCCTGGTACCAGCTCTCCACGGCCCTGCTAACAATACCTGTCACTGTAGCGAGTGGAGAAAGAAGCTTTTCCAAAATGAAACTAATAAAAACCTATCTGCGGTCAACAATGTCGCAGGATAGACTTTCAAGTTTAGGAACCCTATCGATTGAAAAGAATATTGCTGAAAATCTTTATTTTTCAACCCTAACCAAAGATTTTGGTGATAAGAAGGCTCGTAAGATTAATTTAAAAAATTAAATGTATTTTGTGTAAAACATAAACAAAAAATGTTTCTTTGTATGTAGCGTTTTATTGCAAAGTATTATTTTTGAATTCGATTTGTTATTATTTTCCATGTAATTTACCAGCACGTTTATAAAATTTTCAGGGGCGGCAGGACAAATTTCGCACGAGGGCGGCAAAAAGACTAAGGCCGGCACTGTATATATATATATATATATATATATATATATATATATATATATATATATATATATATATATATATATATATATATATTTACATATATATATATATATATATATATATATATATATATATATATATATATATATATATATATATATATATATATATACATCAAACATTTATGCGCTTAATAATATAATAGAGAATACTTTTGTATTTTGATATTTTTATAATTTACATGATAATATTTTATTTTTTCTCTTCAAATAAATGAATCAAATTAAGGCTAGATACAGGGTGCATGTATATTGCTGGAAAAATGGATGAGCAGAGCGCTATTATGATTTACCTGCAGACATCACCGTTATAAGTTCCACATTAAGGTTAGAACTATTTATGCTATAAAATACTTTTATACTAGCTTTGTTGCTTTTTCATTTCTCATTTATCAATATTTAGCATGCAGCACTTGCATTTTCTGGGATTATGTCAAATGAGCAAGTTGATAATTTTTTCATAAAAAATTCGAAAATCTTAAAAAGTTTGAGGAAGGTATAGATTTGTATATTACTTTTTTCTAAATTAAAAAAAAAAATCATAAAAACAAATATGAATTACATTTTTTCACATGGTGACTATAAGCACTTGGCAAAGCTTTTTTTGGCTACGCAGTGATAAACTAGCAAACTTTAAGTTTCATAAACCTACAGCTTTTCATAATGCAAAATTTCAAAAATCAAAGTTATCTACTACATGACAGTAGAACTGCTTACATTTTATTTATTATCATTTTTTAATTCTGATTCACGTCTAACAAGCTGCAAGCAAGCATTAAGTTAGGATTTACTAGAAGAAAAAAAGAATAGTGTTAAAAAACAAGAAAACAGTTGACAGAAGACTTGAAAAGTTGTAGGTTGTATGAGTCGGGAAAACATAAATATGTAATGGAGTTCCAAAGGGATGAAGTGCAGGG